ATCAACAGAGGAATAGCATCAAGATCAAGGAAAGTGACAGCACTGCACTATACCACACTGTTGAGGTCACACTTGGAACTCATCCAGGACAACAATAGTCACAACAATATAAAAAAAGATGCAGAGGCCCCTGAAAGAAGAAACAGATGATAAGGGAGGTTAAATCCTATGAAAGGACTAGGTATGTTTACCTTAACAAAGAGAGGGGAGGTATGATAATTGTCTTCCAATACTTGAAGGGCTGTCACAAAACTGAGTGTCAATTTATTCTTCATAGCACCTGACGTTAGGACAAGAAGTAATAAATAAAATTTCTTGATAGTAAGAATTTGTATGCAATGAAACAGTCTGCTAACCAAATTTGTGGGTGGTCCATCACTGAAGATTTTCAAGAAAATATTGGACAACTATTTGTTCAAGGTGGTATGAAGACTCCCACCTTAGGTAGGGGATTGTACTAAAAGACCTCCAAGATCCCTTCCTGCCCTATGATATTATTTATTCTATGAATAGTCAAGTTTATAAAACCTTTCCACAGGTCAACATAGCTGGGGCCAACAAAACCATGTTAAACATTTTTGTTATTGTTGTTGTTCTGTTAGTTGTCTAGAGTAAATTAGGAATAGGAAGGGTTTGGTAGAATAGAAAACATTAATAAGGAGAATGATAGAATATGAAAAATATAGATCCTGTATAAGGTATTATGATACTGTGATGATCAACTGCCATTTGATGTGCCCTGATTTTCATATTGCCGTGATGGCAAACCTATGGCACACGGAGCCATGTCGCCTGGCACACAATGACTACCTGTATAAATCTAAGTCTTAACATAATTCATTATAGCTTATAATATAAAATGTGGTTTGAGCTATAATATTAGGACAATCCAAAATGAGCACAGCATGTATAAAAATCTGAAACTCTGTTCCCAAACCCAGGACAAAATATGAAATCCTAATTCTGTTACTGTATGTAAGCTGACAGCACTGCATTTAGCATAGCTTGTCAATCATTTTTAAAATCTTGGAATAGTGTTGCTTTGTGATGAAGCCCTGTGGCTTCCAGCAAAGTTGTTCACAAAAATGGAACAAAACAAACAAACACCCTGAGTTTCTTTGTTTGGCATTCTTGGGAAACCTAGTACATATTACAGAGTGATCAGAGATATCAAACACTCGTAGACAGGAATATCCTGAACTACTTCTGGTTTGGAAGATGCTGTCAACCCACCCTTAGAATACTACTGTGCTGTTTTGTGCAGGGGAATAGAATGATCAGGTATTCTTCACACCTTTGTCCCCTAGTCAAACATACCTGGAAGAGATAAGTATCTGAAATCATTTGTTGAACAGAATGGCAAGCCTTTCCTTAAAAAGAAAGAAAAAAAAAAGCAGAGACGACATGACCGCCTAATAAAATTTTAAACGTCCCTCATGCTTTGATGTTTTTGGTCAATTATTTTTCCATTATTTACTTGCTTAGTAAAACCTTCTGTTTTCTCATTTTTTAGGGGAGCTTTTGCCCTTGATCCCCTAAAAGGTCTAAGAGTTGGTTATTCAGGTCATCTCAACTTTTAATTCATAGCTGTGACTGTGTAGAGAGCTACATTGTAGTTCTTTATGTCACTTTACACATCCGTATTAATGTAGTAAACAGTATTAATGGCAATCTCAGTAAGAAGCCTAGTGCTGTTTTAAATGTAGTACACAAGGTAATTAATTGCCCGGAGGTTAACTGCTGAAAGAAAAAATTAATTAGATGGAAACCTTTTTTGTACTTTTAAAATACTTTCTTTACAGCAAGAACACATTAGAATTTACTTTGGGCTCTATTGTAGAAGTTATATTTAGATGTTCATCTAAGTTATTCCTTCCGATATGATATAAGTCACACGTGTTCAAAGTACAACTCTTATTTTGGCTCATGCAAATATTTGAATTAGAGATGGGCAATCTTTTTTGGTCTAAAGTCTGATTTAGCCTCATTGTGGCATGTTGAGGGCTGCATTCCAATAGTGAGCAGGGTGAAACCTACATTAATATTTAATAAATTAAATGCATGAATAAATACATTAAAAATTCTGTTTCTTAATGCGATCAGCCAGCCACATGTTTCTAAAAAGTCTAGAAAAAGATCATGAACATCTTAGATTCATATATATATATATATTCTTTGCATTCTTTAACAAAATGAATATAAATCTTGCTACTGCTGCAACTCTCTCTCTCTCTCTCTCTCTCTCTCTCTCTCTCTCTCTCTCTCTCACACACACACACACACACACACACACACACACACCTAGCTGTATTTCAGAAGAACAAAGGAAGAGCTTTATGTTTACCTAGAAGTCATAATTTCTGACTAATCTCTAACGTAACAGAAATTTTGGATACACTATCAAAACAAAAATATCATGCACATATTCATGTTATGTCAAATCATATTTTATGCTATTAAAGCCATTCGAGCACCATGTGAATCCATCCTTGTTTAGAGTTAGCATCCTATAAAGATATAGGAAAAATTATTTTCCAAACATTTTTAGCCAACCGCACCCTCCTGCAAGCCATAACTGCAATAAGAAAGAATCATCTAGCCCATAAGAATTAGTGTGAGGAGAACAGTTTTCAGAAATGGTGCACAAACAAAGGGTTAAGTGGAAGTGCAGATGGAGAAGAAACCTAAGGCAGCTCAGTGATTATTCTCAGTGGGCACTTGCTAAATATTACAGGACAGCAGGAAATAGATGAATGAAATGGATTTGGGATACACATCAGTGTAAATCATTCTGAACTTGACTGTAAAAAATATGATTTCTTTAATAGAGTTGTCGAAGTCTGGAATGCTCTATCTGATCCAGTTGTCTCAGCTACAAATTTTCACAGTTTCAGTCACAAATTGACTTCTGTGAATCTTACTTCATACTTAAGTGGTCAGTAGAGGGGGCAGGCATAACTGCACTAACGTCTGCACTAATCTCTGTCATTTTTTTTCTTTTATTCTTGTTCTCGATTTTGTTTGACAAATTCTAATAAATAAAATAAATGTTAATGAATAACGACCCCCATCTTCCCTGGGCAGAATGGCCATGGTGAAAAATGTAAGACCCAGAAGTTCAACAAATTTCCAATGCTACATATTTCCCAGCTGGAATGGAATTATAGGTAGGTGGCAATTAGGGTGACTTCAAATAATATAATATTCAGTTTAGTGTGAATTGTAAATAGATACCAAGTTGTGTTTAATGCAACCGAAAATTCAGTTAATGTCTGCCTATGGAACGCAGAATTGAGGCAAGCGCATGCACTGTTTTATATACTAATAATCTTTATATGTATAAAATGGAGAAAAAGAAAGATTCTGTTAGAGTACAAGTTTAGAATGAAGAGGTTTATTACGTTACAGCAAAAATTTGATGTAATTAAACAACATGAACATGGTCCAGGAAAAGCTATAATAGAACAAGATGTTGAAATGTCTAAGTAAATGGTGGAATTTTTTGGTTATATTTTGCTTTATGTAATTACACTGTTTAACTTAATTTAGAAATTTAAATTAGAAGTACATACTTTTTAATCATAACTGTAATATTCCATTAGTATACATATAAAATATTTTGTTTACAATTTTTTTACTGCCTGTTATTGAACTGGAAACAATTGCCATATTTTCCATAGAAATATCACTTCAAGTAGTACAGATTTGAATAATGTGACCTTTTCATGGGATTCATTAACCAACTAGTTATTTTCAAGATTTACTTCTGAATATTTAGTGTCATTGTTAAAGTAAAAGCCAAATATAAAGTTAGAACTTTGTTCATAAAACATATTTTTAAAATATTTTTTGTATTTATTCATTACATTTATTTGGTTAGCATGTAATAAACAAAATAATTTTTAATTACTTCCCCTTGCCTATTTACACAGGAGCAATCCTGAAGTCAAAAGGATAATAATAAACATATTTTGGATTGTACTGCTAGCAAAACTATCTATTGTATTTAATTAAAAATCATTCTATACTGATTCTCTGACCATTTGTCTTATAAACTCATTCTCACTACAGCATTTCTGCCTGCAATTTAAAACTGATTGAAGTAGGAGGGAAAATGTATGCATTGTTAGTAAATTTTGCTTACTATACATGAAAGATTCATCTGTTCACGTTAATGCAGTCTGATAAACCTAACATCTGACAGATAATGGAAGGACCACTCAATTTATTTTAAAAATGTAATTTTTTAAAAAATCTACTGGTATATGAATCAGTTTGGTATAACGGTTGAAATACCAGGATAGAAACCAGGATAGTGGGAGTTCGAGTCCTGTCTGAGGCACAAAGCCAGCTGGGTGACCTTGGAGCAAACCACCTCTGAAAACTTTGCCAAGAAAACTGCAGGGACTTATCTAGGCCAGTCACTAGGAGTCAACAGAATAACGGAGTTGGAAGGGACTCTGGAAGTCTTCTGGTCCAACCCTTTGCTCAGGCAGGAAACTCTATGCCATTTCAGACAAATGGTTGTCCAATCTCTTCTTTAAAAAGTCCAGTGTTGAAGCATTCACACCTTCTGGAGGCAAGTCGTTTCACTGATTAATTGTTCTAACTGTCAGGAAATTTCTCCTGACACTTCCTCCAACTCCGTTATTCTAGGTTGTTTCTCTCCTTGATTAGTTTTCACCCACTGCTTCTTGTCCTGCCTTCAGGTGCTTTGGAGGATAGGTTGACTCCCTCTTCTTTGTGACAATCCCTTAGTTATTGGAACACTATATCATGTCACCCCTAGTCCTTCTTTTCATTAAACTAGACATACCCAATTCCAGCAACTGTTCTTTGTATGTTTTAGCTGCGACTACCTTGACTCTCCTTCCTTCCTTCCTTCCTTCCTTCCTTCCTTCCTTCCTTCCTTCCTTCCTTCCTACCTACCTACCTACCTACCAACACACACATACACACATACACAAAGCACACATTGAGCAGTAATCAAAAATACTCACATCAGAATTAAAGCGAAGTTGACACACATTGCAGGAGATGACTTGTTTCTTCTTTAGAGGGAGTGACACGCCAAATGTGTGGTTTATGACAGCTTTTTGCACTGGGTCCATCTAGGAAATGAATAACAGCATATTGACATTACAAAAAAAAAATGTTTCTGAGAAATGTGTTTTTAAAGAAAGCTCTAAATCGGACAAGTAATGACTGCAGTGAACTTACTTATTTGATTTTCTATTTGGCTTTTCTACTGTGGCAAGTTCAAAGCAGCTTATTAATTTTTTCTGTTGCTTTACCATTTGTGCTAAAGAAAATTGGTACTCATAAGGAATATTTGTCACATGGCATTACTATAATTGCCTTCCTGATATGCTGGAGCTGATGGTGTTTGAAAGCTGCTGGTGGTGGAAAATCTCCTTTTGGTGTTGGGTGACATCAGTCTCCTTACCTCTGGTCCTTGCTTTGAAAAAACTCAGGAATTCATGGCCTTCATGACAACCATGGGCTTGTCTGAAGTCATCTTTAGGCCAATTCATATGGGCAGTCATAATTTAGATCTTGTGTTTGCTTTAGAGAAAATTTTACATTATCTGGAAATGGAGAGGCTTTTCATTATTCTGTTTCCATGACTGGATCATGCCTTGAACCAGTTACAGTTAAGAGTAACACATGATAATCATGGGGCAGCAGGCCTGATTTGGATGGCCCATCCCCAATGCCTAATGGATCCTGTTGGAGAGTTTCTCAGCTCACTGGCGAACAGTTCAGTTTAGTGCCTGATAGACCACTGACATTGGTAACCAAATTGGATACTGGAGTCTATTGCCTACAAGCAGCCTCTTTCTAGTGCAATTTCCTGGCTGGCAACTTGGCTGCTGAGACTCTTTGGAAAATAAAGCAACACTTGAAATGCTGGAGAAAGACAAAAAGTACATTCAACCAATCTCAAGTATGTAACTATGTTGGCACCTACACTGTGACATTAGGCAGGTGAAACACACTTATTTTTCCATCTTTATTGAAGTGGCAGAATATTGTCAGGTGACCCTGTTTAACTTTACTAACTCTCTTTAAGAAGGAGCCATTAGACAGATTGCTCATCTGGCCACTATAATTATTTGCATTAGCACTTTGCCAACAAAGTCATTTTGGCTCTTAATGGACAAAATCTGTATTGGTGACTGACCCTGCTGTCTGTAATTCTTTTTCCGCTGTGAGTTCTGAGAAAGTAGAACAAGTGGAGTTCTGCTGAATTAGACTATCCTGTAGCACATGTAGATTGGACCCTTGCTCAATCTTGTGGTCTTGAATAAATATTTGCTGGTCTTCCTTTTGGGTGGAAGATTGTTGAAATGGTGGTGACACATTAGAGGAAGTGGATTTTCTGGAGACTGAGTTCAGGCCTGGATATGGGACTGAGGTTTATTTATTTATTGTTTATTTGTCGCATTTCTATGCCGCCCAACTCCCTGGGGACTCTGGGCGGCTTACAACAAAAAATAATGCAAACAATATACCATAAAAGTTGTTTTAAAAAAACATTAAAAACCCATACACTCCATTCATGGCCGAGTCTCACAAGATTGCAGCAGCGAGATCAACGGCCCCAGGCCTGCCGGAAAAGCCAGATCTCCACCGCTTTCCGGAAGGACAATAGAGTGGGGGCGGTCCGGACCTCAGGTGGTAATTGGTTCCAGAGAGCCGGGGCAGCCACAGAGAAGGCCCTCCCCTGCGGGCCCGCCAGCCAACATTGTTTAGCTGACGGGATCCGGAGGAGACCAACTCTGTGGGATTTTACCGGTCGTTGGGATCTATGCGGTAGAAGGCGGTCTCGAAGATAGCCTGGCCTTAAGCCATGTAGGGCTTTAAAGGTAATAACCAACACTTTGAATTGTGTTCAGAGACCGATAGGGAGCCAGTGCAGCTCGCGGAGAATTGGTGTAATGTGGGTGTATCTAGGTGCACCCACAATAGCTCGCACGGCTGCATTCTGGACCAACTGTAGTCTCCGAACACTTTTCAAGGGTAGCCCCATGTAGAGCGCGTTGCAATAATCCAACTGTGAGGTGACAAGGGCATGAGTGACTGTGAGGAGAGCCTCCTGATCTAAGTAGGGTTGTAGTTGGTCCACTAGGCGAACCTGTGCAAAAATCCCCCTAGCCACAGCTGCCAGATGTTACTCTAATTTTAGCTGTGAGTCTAGAAGGACACCCAGATTGTGAACCCGTTCTGAGGGGGACAATTTCTCTCCCCCCCCCCCAGGACCAGAGATGGACAATCGACATAGTCTTTAGGAGGCAATACCCACAGCTATTCGGTCTTGTCTGGGTTAAGTCTGAGGTGATACTGATCACTCTCCTGGATGAGTTCTATTGAGACCTGGATGGGGTAATGCAGTTCTCCTTATCTGTCAGTCCTCTGAGGTAAGATATGACAGACACTAAAAGAAATACTAGAATTCTGATTAAATGTTATAAGCTATAATGATAGAATCTTGAAAGCCTGACAGCTTTTCCCTCCTCCACCCCCTCTTCTATCCATATAGAGTCAATGTGGGACAATCTGGAATTTCTTTTTCACTTCTCTGTTTTCTGGGCTATTTTATGTTTTACTAATGGTTGCCACATATTTTCTTCAAGTCATCACTGTACTTTTTTACATTGTCCTTTTATACTATTCAGCAATGAGCATTGAGGGAAATTTTATAGTGGTTCTATTCATTTCTCTGTGGACAGGTTCAGCGTGTTGTAGTGGGGGAAGAGTGGGGTTTCATAGGATGTGGTCCTCTCCCCATTTTTTAACATTCATATGAAATCACTGGGGGAGAACATTTGTAGTATGTTAACGATACCCATTATTACCCAGTTTGTGAGGGAGATGCTATTGATATTTCATTCTGCTACCTGGAAGCTGGACAAAACTGCAGTAGAGAAAGAAACTATGCAGTAGTCATAGTAAAATTGGATGGTTGATGTTTCAAATGCATAGGATGAGCTATGCAAAATTAAGAGCAAGTCTCTCTCTATGTGAATTATATACCACCATATTCACATACTAGACTCCCAACTGTTAAGATTATTAGAACATAAAAATATCACAATTAAAAGAAAATTCTTAATTATGACTATTTAATGTAACATGACAAGTCAAGGCAACTATCTCACTTCTACTCAAATCTCTATGGAACAAGTCCCTGCTGCAACCCCTGCCCTTTGGAAATACTCATGGTTTCTACTCTCCTAAGGTTCCAGAAGTACCTTAAGACTAGTTTTTGTTCTCTGGTCTAGATTAGGGTATCTGTGGAGTCCCCACTGAATCTTTTCTCTGAACGTTGGGATTGCTGTTTTGGCTCAGGCAGTATTGTTCTCCGTGTAGGCTATCCAGAGTTGTTTTAGGGTTAGGTGACCTCAACAAATCTAATACACAATTAGGTTTCAGGGCCCTAGTGTTATCCTACAATGAGGGTTCCTAAACCTTTTGCCATCATATCTCCCTTCAATGTATGTTTAATGCACACACTTCTCTAAAATTTCAAACAACAAAACGAACTCAAATGAACAATAAAAACAATACAATGAATTTTTAAAAAAAATAAAGACATAAAAAAGCAAAGGTTCTTCATATCTCCCTTGAACACTCTGCATCTCTCCAAACCCTGTCCTAGAATCCCAATAATCGTACATTTGCTCATTTAAAGATATAAAATTCTTTTTTCGTAGGTATATATATTATTAAAACTTCAACAAGAAAGGTAAAATCTAATACAAACTAATATAAAACAAAGAACACAAAGAGAAAATAAGTGCAAGAAAAGACAGAAGTTGAAGAAAAACAGAAAAGAAAGAAAAATATATAAAGAGGTGACTTCCCGTATTCTTCCCAGCAATTTTAAGTAAAAACATATTTCAACCTCTCTGTATAAAATTACATATTCTTCTTCTTTCTATAATATATCCTAATTACCCAAACCATAAATCAGAAGTTCATTTTTTTATTTTTATATAAAAAGTTCGTAAGAAGTTTCCAGTCACCAATAAATATAGATGATGTCTTTTCTAATCAAAGAAATCAAGTTATCCATTTCAGCAAAATATGTCCACACCTAGAAAACCATTCCTTGATGCTGGGTAGTGTCAAATTCCCCATGTCTGTGCATGTAGTAATCTTATTACAGTAATCATATTGAAATATTTTTTCATGGCTTTTTTCTAATTATTTATCCACTAGTCCTAAAAGGAAAAATTCTGGTTTCAATTGAATATTGATCTTTAAAAATCCTGTATATCAAAGTGTGTATGTGAATCTCAAATTTTAAGGCTTTTTTTAAAATATACATTAGAAAATGTAATCTTCTATCATGTTTCAGTCTTCAGGTTGGATCCTGACTACGCATGACCAAAACCTCATTCACAAAATGCTATGCTGGACCTGCAAAAAACTGTTCTAGCAGTTTGAGGCTGGGGGCTGCAGAGGCAGGGAGGAATCATTTTCTCTTTTTTTCAGGTGTGATCTTCCTTTAGTTCTCTTTCATGAATGGAAGGTGACCAAAATTGATTCTATTTTTTCTGAACAAAAAACATTTTAAATATTTTAATTTTCTTGGAGAGAAATTTTTCCTTTGTTAATCCCATAGGAAACAAATAAACTTCGTAATTTTCTAATGTAAAAGAAATTGGGAAAACCATCCCTGAGGAGTTTTTTTAAAAAATGCACATCATCATTATTATTATTAATAATAATAATAATAATAATAATAATAATAATAATAATAATAATAATAATAAAATTTTTATACCGCCCTACTCCCGAAGGACTCAGGGCGGTGAACAGCCAGAAAATAAAATACATATAATACAAACGTTAAAAACCATATAAAATACATTAAATCCTTTGGCCCAGAAAACAAATTTAAAACACCCCAATTTATAAGACAAATTTAAAATTTAAAAAAGAATTTTTTTAAAAAAAAATTGATTTATATGCCGCCCTTCTCCGGAGACTCAGGGCGGCTTACAATGTGCTCAGCAATAGCCTTCATCCTTTTTGTATATTTATACAAAGTCAGCTTATTGCCCCCACAACTGGGTCCTCAATTTACCTACCTTAGAAAGTA